AAGGTTCCTGACGAATTCGAGTTTGTCTAGAATTATTATTTTACCTGAATGTGTGTAATCTCATATACACGCACACATAGATAATATTTGAAATCCATTGCAACTGGTTGTGTGTGAAACACAATTTCTTTGGTATTTTGCCCAACAGAAAAGAAGTGAAAATAATGTTGAAATTTTATATAAACAATGTTTCATATGTAAAATAAGTTTCCATTTAAGGTATCCTCGACCTTTCGTAGGTTTACTTTTCACATTTGCATCTGTTAGCCAAGTTTATTATTATATAACTACTAATCGCATTTTTGTGTCTGGCTTTATTATCCTATACTTCAGTATTATAAACATTTTATTTTTATTTCTGATATTCGAAGCAAAAAAAAAAAAACAAATTACTCTGCATAATAAATATATTTGATTAGAAAGCATAAAGGTGGGAAAGTGCTTGTGTACATCAGATCAATAACTTTAAACACCACTTGTTTAAATTACTAGGGAAATCCTTAAACATTCGATAGAATATTACATAAAAATAACAAATATTGGATACACACACTGATAAAATATATAGATTTGTTAGTCAAAATGCAACCATTAGACCTTTCCCGCGAACGAATGTCTTTTTTAAAGGCAATCGAAAAGTCTCCATTCCCCATCCCCATACCACTTAAAGGATACAGAGCATATCAAGTTTGTTTAAAAGAACTTAGGATAGATTCACTTCTTCGTATATCGATCGATTCGGAACCATTTTCTACACTGATTTAAGCCTGTCTGCATGCCTGCCCATCTGATGTCCACCGATGTATTTAAATATTCAAAGGTAATTCATGCATAATAATGATTTGGTATAAACAATAAATAGTCTTAGCAACGTAAGGGTATTTTCTGGATCCCACCTAATAAAAAGGTCTCGATAAAAAATAAGCTCTTATATGGCAAAAATGTCCAATTGTTGATATTTTATGGTGAAAATTGGTTCTTAAGAGTAACTTGATCTAAAATTTGGATCAAAAGGTTTTTCACTTAGACCCAACCATATAAAGGGCTCCTGATGAAATCCAAACACGTTAACGACGAAGTGTTTTTTATGATCGAAGCAAGTGAAAATTACTAAAATCTTTAACCAGTAAATTGAGTTTGCTAAGTGTGCACCACTTTAGTTGACATTTTCAGCGACCTCCAAATTCCAAAGGTATGCCTCTACAACAAATATAATTTTTGGTATTTTATCCCAAAAGTGAAGAGTTTTATTAAGCGACTTTATGCAGGGCATTCAGTGGGGTCGGCCTTACTTATCTGGAATACTTTCACTGATGACAGGTAGCAAAAGGCAAAGTTTTGTATCATTTCATTGTATGGTGTCAGGTTGACATTTTCTGAGAGATCTTAATTCGATTTATGTAAATCCTATATGCGGACAAAATAAATATTACTGTGGGCAAAACATAAAGTGAAACCATTATCTATTCGTTCAGATCACTGTCATCACCTTCATAAACTCCACACTATACACCTTACTAAAAGTTTGCTTTAGCGGAAGAAATTCGTAGCGCACGGCACCGCAATAGTCGAGGGAAACTGTTAACTTCACTTTGATTGTTAAGCAACTTTGGAACTCTTCATAGATCTCAAAGACAATAGTACCAATCCACCAAAAAAAAAAAAAAAAAAATTAGTTTCATAATTTCATAGCATCCAAGAACAAGTCATCTTTCGGTTCCAGTATTGTATGTAGCTATAAATGTGAAAGTATACAAAATGCAAACATATATAATCTTTTCTTACATATCAGGCTTCATAGCTTAGAGCAAACGCATTGAAAGCGAGGAGTATTTTGTTTTCTACGGAGGAAATTAATTGGGCCCTTAGTAGATTTTAGGAAATCTTCAATCAATCGTTTAACACATTTTTTCATCATAACATTCGTAGACGCCTTTCTTGTTAAATGTATGTAAAACACATGTGATGACGTCAGGTCATGCCCATATGTCTAAGAAAATATTTAAATATTAAAAACTGTTTTTGTGTTTTTTTTTTGGTTATCATTATTTATTTACACTTTATAATGGAAAAGTGCTGTATTTATATTTTTATTGTTTGTCTACACATCCACACATACACACATAAGCACACTTAAACAATTGCACAGATGAATAAATGCTGATGAATAATTTTTATATAAATTTTGCAAAAAAATTTCTTAAATTAATTTCTTCTTCTTGACTACAAAAAAGTCAAGATTGCTTAACACATCTTAGAAGCACCAAGTTCGTTGCACTTTTTTGCTTTTGTGTTTCTATTGGAATTGAAAAAAGAAAAAATTGATCCTTGAATTTGTTTTCTTCTTCTCTCTTTCGTTCCTTTTTTTTTTTTTTTGTAATACGTTCAACTTGTGGTGTCTGTTTGTTTGTGGATTCAGGCAGTCATTCAATAACCTTTTTATGAATTTTATAGGATTTTATTATTAAAAAATATGTAAAGAAAAAAAAAAATTCATATTAAATTTCAATAAACAAAATGTATTGGATTTTTATTTATTTTGCAAAATTTCATTTCTCTTTTTTCATTCTTTTCGGTTTGAACATTTTCTATCGATGCCAAGTAAATATTTGGCATTATATATATCAGTACATTACATTGTTTATAAAATTTAAAAAATTAATATTTCTATAGCGTCTATCGAATGATGCACACCTTACGTTCGTCATAAAGTATGACATAAAAAAGAAAACTCTCTCCCAAATATGGTTTAATAAAAGAAATTATTGCAGCAGTTATGTAGACTTGAGTGATATAATTTACGATTCGATGTAGGAATCGAAAAATTGTTACTTTATTTATCTTGTACTCTACTGTATTGTATTGCAAGCTGCTGAAGCAATCCCTACTGCGGACTGAAAAGGTCTGTTGCACTCGCCCGTGCTTCTAACATTCTAGTTTTAGATTCCTTATGAGTCCCATCTTCAGGTTCGGAGCGTCATACGTTATAATGAGTTCGCCACGCATTTCTTATCTGATCCGGCAGACGGCCACGCATTCGCACAGGCTGTGATGGCGCCGTTTCGTCTGTCCCCTAGCAGAATCTACATGAATCACCCGGTTTGAGACCGTATTCAGTATTTTTCAGATGGCATCTGCGAAAGTTATCACCCGTGCAATAGAGATCTTGTAAAATAGGAAGCAACTTTTTACTCAATCGCAAATATATTTTGTTAAAAGTGTTCGAAATTATGCAATTTCAGTATCGGTACGAAACTCAATAAAATAATCTTTGGCTTAAAAGATTATGTTACGAATGTCTTATGAGGAGTGCAAATAGGTTTTCTTTTAAGATGATGAAGTTCACTTGAATAAAGTCATTTACGGTTCAAAGTGAAAGTGAAGAGTCTCGGTTCAGAGACCTTACAGAATAGAAATGAACATCAACCAAGTTGAAGAACACTTTTCAATGGATCATTAATCGTGTGGATCGTCCATCTGTTTGTGGATTCGCGCCTGCATTTGTTGAGAGTTTGTAAAGTTTTTCTAGGATAAAAACTGAAATTCCCTCCCCCATTACTGTCGCGATAGCTGCCTTTACGAGAACATATGCAATTACAATCCCCGACCTTTTAATCCTTTGAGTATGCTAATCTAATACACTAATCCGTTGCACAAAAGTGGCACCCCACGTGGGTTCACTTACAAACAAATGTTTGACTTTGCTTTGACAGGATTAAAAACATTACTATATGGTACACAAAAGAGTCATCAAACGTACGGCCACCCTAGTCCCTTCACTAATAATTTCAAATAGTACTATATCGGCCCTATGTTGATATGACATAGTAGTTAGTCTAAGAATTACAATGTCGAAGCATAGTTGGTATGAAAGTGCATAGGATTAAGTGACAGCATTGAAATCTATTTTAATAGCGGTATAATTTAATTATCATATTGAAAGAACAGAGATCCCGATTAGTCATTTTCTCTTTGGATTTTGACGAAAGTTTTCCTACCACGACCCTCACACATAACGTGAGCAATAGAATTTCGAATGTTGTCGAGTTTGACTTAGTTTTTTTTTTCGTTCTTGTGACCACAAGCTAAAGCATTATAAGGAAGTATGACCCATAAAAGATCAACGAGCTGGCAAAAGGCCAGATGAATAAGTTAAAGCAATGTTCAGTTTTAAGAGTTATAAGGCAAAAGACATTTTAAGTACAACCTTTGTGCGTTTGCAGTGACGTGAAGATTTTTATTATATTAAAATAAATTCTAAATACGCGCAATAATATATGCGTAGATGTGCACATATGAAGTCGAGCCAAGGAGAATATCGTCAGAATGTTTAATGTAAAGATTAAAGTCAAAGAAGGCAATAATACGATGCCACGTCGGAATGGTCGTACGAACAACTACACACAACATACGAATAGCGGTTATAGCAGTCCGACAACCACCGGCAGTTTACGAAGTTCATTGGCTTCGGCGAATCGCAGCCCTAACAATTCACTAAAACGCAAAGATAAACGTGTCAGAATTGTCACAACGTATCCCCCGATTGATAATATAAACCAGCGCACCAAACAATATGGTAAGCAATATATGCATGTTAATGAAAACATGATAATACACTCGATAAAGGAAATTAAAAAAACAAAAAAAAAAAAAAACAATACAAAAAGAGAAAATTCAGGTAATGAGGCTTTCGTTAAAGGAAGTTTAGAAAAATGCTATATTTGTTAGTTTCTTCCCCTCGTAATTGTTTATGCACATCCGAATACTCTTAGTTGGTAATTGCTAAACGTGACTTGCATTGATAAAATTGTAATTCCTTTCACATACATGCTTGTGCACACACATCTTGTTTACCAAACTACTGGTACTATTGCTACTACTACAGCTACTACTACTACTACTAGTACTACTGTTGCTACTGTTACTCAAACTATTCCTTCTTTTGCTTCTTATTATGTCGGGGCACATGTTCTCAATTGTATGTACATTTGCATTAACAGATGCCATCGATGGTATTACGGAATTGCGTTTGGAGCAATATGAAATTCACATTGAACGCACTTCGGCCGGTCTTGGCTTAAGTATTGCCGGTGGCAAGGGATCGACGCCTTTTAAAGGTGATGATGAGGGTATTTTTATATCACGTGTCACCGAAGGTGGTCCAGCGGATATGGCCGGCTTAAAAGTGGGCGATAAAGTGCTTAAAGTTAACGGTATTTCGGTAGTCGACGCTGATCACTATCAGGCTGTGCAAGTGTTGAAGGCTTGCGGTTCAGTTTTGGTTTTGGTAGTAGAGCGTGAAGTGACACGTTTAATTGGCCATCCGGTGTTCAGTGAAGATGGCTCTTTGTCGCAGGTAAGAAAATCGAATAAAAGAGAATTTCAAGAATAAAAATATCATAACTATGGTTTTCTTTTGTTCTTATCGGTAGATATCTGTGGAAGCACGTCCTTTGCCTATACAAATTCAACAACAACAACAACAACAACAACAGCAGCAACAGCATCAACATTCAACTCATGAGAAAGCCATTCCACCCCCCATAGAAATTCCCGCAGATAGTCAACATCAAATTCAACAACAGCACAATCTCCAAAACTATCAGGCAAATGTATTTACTACACCAGCAACAGTGGCTACGGCAACAGCAGCAACAACAGCGATGACACTTCAAGACCAACAACCACATGCAACATCAACAAATGGGATTGTCGAAAATTCCAAGGTTGGTAATTTAAAAGTAAATTTTACTTACGTCCCTTATATATGTATACCTTAAACACACAAAAGCAACACAACAGCAATACGTACGTACGTACATACGTACTGTAGGAAAACATTTAAATTAAATTCTGTCAAATTCTGTATACGAGTAAAAAAATTTCTTTGTTATTTAGAATTTTCCTTTAAACATGCAATTGTCCTTAGACAAGGAACATTTTTCCATCAGAGACAGTAGACAATTGCCGACAGTATTTAGTTTCGTCGAAAAGGTTAAATGAATATCCTTAAAGAATGGATTACATTAACTTAAACAATACCCATAACCACAATTGTAATAGATTGTTAAAAAAGTACTGAGCCGCCGAAGAGCGAACGAAATTCGGAATACATTTGTTACTATTGGAAGTGCCTTATGGGCATCAGCCGACTCGATTAGCTCGCCGTACCTTATTCATAAGTAATCAAATGCTTTTAAGGTTTCAGAGGGAATTCAAGGGAACGAATGAGAATGGAAAAAATGTCAACCCATTCCCCTATGCCAAGAAAAATATGCAAAGCCATTAATACAATTGCAGTAGATAGGCCTCAGCTTGTTAGAGTGACACATGCTCCTATTTCTAGAATGTATCTGTACGATGTCAGCGGGCACCGTGAGGTGAGGGTTTCATAATAGGTACTCACGTAAAACCGCGGAAGGAATCTGCTTGACGTAGGCATCATACATTAAAAAAAAAAAAAAAAAAACAATTTGTTGAAAATTAAAATTTGAAACTTTAAACCCATTTATCGGGTCAAGCTTACGATAACACTGTGTAGTAAACACTCTGACATTTTTTCGAAAAATGAAAATCGCCAGTTCTATAAAAGATTTTTGACATTTCCAAAAAAAAGGAGGTAAATACACCATTTTCCAAAGTCAATTTTTCCAATATTCCTATGATCCTTAGGTTTTGTGTCATATTTTCAGAAAATGTTGAATTTGTTGCCGTAGGTGTACAATTGTGACCTATAGCCGTACGGAAAACGAAATCATGGAAAAAGCATCGGTTTCTTAGAGCCACTATGCCTCCTTTGTATATAAAAAAATTCGAAGAAACCTTTTTTTAACCGGCTTTAGGATTTTTACTTGCATATAAGGGGATAAATTATGAAATTTGATTTAGTTGCTTGAAACACTCTTTCGTGCAATATCTAATACATTTTCCATATCGTAATAATTTGCACATTTAGTAATGCTAGCTGTTAAGTAACGTTCTGGACATGCTACTATGAAACCTAATGCCATTTTATAAATAAAAAGCTTAATATTTTTTACATTACCTAATATGTATGGATTACTGTCGTCTATTGAAAATTTAATTCATTTAAACAAGACCCAAATACTGAAGCAAGTTTAATCGGAAAGTTCATTCATTAAAAGCTACCAACCGAGTTCTTTCCAATGTTTTTATAATGTTTGTACGTCTGTTGCATTTAGTAGTCTCTAGGCGAAATTTCTCAGTGTTGTCATGTTATTATTGGAAAATGTAAAAATCATATAATTAATCTATTCCCAGAGATTTTCTCTTTCTAAGAAAGAAACAAAATGAAAGTTACGGTAAAAGTATCCATAAAATTATATAAGGATTTCTGTTAAAAATGCAGATTTACACACTTCTCTATTTTTAATGCAAAAATTAAAAAATCTGTCAATTGAAAATGTCGTATCATTCGAACTAAAAGAAAATATATATATATATATATATATAATGAAAAATATGGCTTCTAGTTGCTCTACTATATTTTTATTGCTATAGTAACACTCGAGAACAACATCACAAAAGTTAATTAAATGTTAAGCATTGATGTAAAATTTTCAGTTAACAATGACTTTTTTTGCATCCTTCACTCTAAATGATCAAGATGCCTTATATCATAGTTATCGCGTTTGAAATTCCCGAGAAAGAAAATCTTTACACACAGTGCATATATTTTCTAAAATTCCCTCGAGTCATTTTAGGTCGATCTAGTTCTATGTCTATTCGCTGAAAATAATGTCAATTAAGGCGAAATTTTAAAAAGTATTTCTCTTTACTAGCTTTGATTATAAGAATTGCCCAATATCTCCAACTAACCAACATTTAACTTTGGGCCGTTAGGCGGGCAAAAATTCTAAATTCATTGCGGGGTATCTGAAATTCTCGTTCATGACATTCGCATTCATTTACTTTGTTCGGTGTTGTTTGCTTCTCTCTTTATTTTTTCCATAAATTTGCGGTAAAGCATTGAGGTTAAAGCGTTTTTATGTATACATATATATATATACGTGTGTGTGTGTTTTTTTTTTTGTTTTTCAAATGTATTGCACTTTGCATACACCAACACAATTATTTTAATTTACTATAAATTTATCTTTAAATATTTCTGTTTGTGAATATTTTATAGGATGCATTGCTAAGCTATATAACATTGCACACAACATTGATACGCGATCAAATTGGCCAGGGTTTGGGTTTTAGCATTGCCGGGGGCCGTGGTTCACCTCCGTACAAGGATGGCTGTGATGGAATATTTATTTCACGCATAACTGAAGGTGGTTTAGCACATCGCGATGGTAAAATTACGGTGGGAGACCGCGTAATGGCAGTAAGTATGATCCCTCCAAAGTGTAAATGTAAATGTAAAATTCATTTTCATGTCCATATCATGGTTAAAAAACACAGTTAGTTATTTCACGTATTGATGCAAAGGGATAGAAATAATTTTTGTGCTTGCGCGATTCCGTTTAAAACTAATCAGAAATACGCTATCGTTGAAAACGAATAGAGTTTTGAATTGTTTTTGTTTTGCAGATTGCTAGATAAGACTACGTCTATATAAATTTAAAGTAATATAAAAGTTTGGCTGGCTGGCTCTATCTCTTTCGAACATTAATATATTGCTCGAACAATAAATATGTTTCTGTTCGTTTCGGAAAGATTACGTTCGTAAGCCATTTAGTGTGACTCGCGTCAACACTTCGAAGCAAGGTTGGAAAATCTAAAAAATAAATTATCCCCTGAAGCAAAACTTAATTGTCGGAGCACTTTTAATGAGACTTGCTTCTTCCTATATATGCTTACTTGGACGACTGGCTTAAGCCAATCTCCAGGGTGTTGCAATTTTGAATTCGGAAATACGTAGGCACATTCAGTGCACGATGTATTTCGGCAACGACAATGTTTGATTTTCTCTTAGAACTTTTTTATGGGAATAAAAATAATTAAGCTTCTGTGGAATAATAGGAACCACGAAAAAATACTATTGGCTTGTTCGGAAAGTCATTTGCTTTTTTTTTTTTTTTTTTGATCGAAAAGATGGATGTAACCTTTCAGCGATCGTACGAGTTGTTATTCGTCAGCTTGCATTAGTTAATTTCTTTATGTTCTTTTCATCAGCTCTGACGGACCTCTGTCAGCATATCTTTTGCATATACATTCAATAATTTGTTTTGCTTGAATATCATTTTTGCTTTACCGATTTCGCTGCCTACAACTTTCCATAGCTTATATGGCGTCAAACAAAAAAACGCTGGGCCGCAGAATCAGAAAAATCTTTTGAAAAACAAGGCTTGCTTGTGGTTCAAGTGTTATATTGGCTGTGAAAAAATGCAATTGAATCTGCTTTTGGGAAAATTGAAATGATTCTCCGAACAACCTAATATTTTGACCAAGATGCCAATTAAGTTCATGTATTAACACTAACCCATGAGATATAATAGAAATTTAATTTAAATTTAGTCAATGAGTTTTTCTATGCCACTACTCCCATGTAGATCACTAGAGGGTGGCAAGTGTTTTTTTGTACCAACTTTGACAAAACTTGGAATTTCTTGTTCAAAATTTGCCTATAAAACCAAGAGTGATAAACGATTTCAAGGTCCATTCGCTTATACGACGTTTCTAAAATGGAAAATTGGATTTTGAAAACTCGCAGTTCTTTCAATTCAGTACTAATCGCTGTAGTTTTTCAACTTATCGAACGAACATTCAATGTGGACGTCTTTTTTTCGCGAATAAAAATCACGCATCTTACCCTTTGTCGGTTAAATTTCAAATATTTTTCGCCGTTTCTTTTCAGATCAATGGCAATGACATGACAAATGCCCAGCATGATGCAGCTGTTCAGTGCCTAACGGAACCTCAACGCTTTGTACGATTGGTACTGCAACGTATTTATCGTGGACCATTAGATGCACCTTTAAGCCCTCATAGTCCGGCTGTATTAAATTCATTAAGTCCTTCAGGTTATTTAGCCAACAGACCGGGTACGTTACAAAAAAAAAAAAACAAATTAAAAAAAATTTAATCTACAAACTAATATTAATTGCTCTCTAGTGAATTTTAAGCGTTCGATTGGTGATATCATAGGAGAGCAACAGCTATCAACTCCAACCAAGTACACAACACAACCAATTAGTTCTTATGATACAAACAAACCGTTGTCGGTAATGACAACATCTACAGCAACAGTAACGGTATCACAACAACCTACGAGTACTGTTTCTTCGGCCAAATTAAATGGTTTTGCCAACACAAGTGCTTATTCCCAGCCTACACAACAACAGCAGCAGCAGCAGCAGCAGCAGCAGATATCAGCGCCGGTAGCATCAACAATAATGCCACAGATTGATAAATTAACCGGTCAACCAGTGCCAGCTCCTAGGCGTTCTAATTCTGTGCCTCAAAATGATGGAGTAGGCAATGAAACTGGCATTGCTGCAACCACCTCACATAACGGTAAAATACCTCATGCTGATGCCAAAATAGGCATTACCAGTACGCCTTCCAATACAGCGCCTGCTACCGATACCACCGAAGCTCAGGTAAGTGTTTTTAAAAAAAAGGTTTCGGTTATTATTCTTTTCTTTATCTTTTCTTTTCTATTAATTTAAGACTTTGTGCACACGTCTCTTTAAGTTTCATTAAGAAAAACTTTTAAGTAAATACCATTATATAATGACCTTTTACTACTATGGCAGTTAAGTTAGCTGATTATTATAGTGCAGAAGAGAAAGAAAACACAAATAATATGTTTTTTGATAAATTAACTACAGGTTTGCCTAAACAATTGAAAGTATCGATCCATCGATCGATCGGCATTCAGTTCAATTTAAGAATTATAAACGATCGATAATGATTGATAGGAATATTGAGAAACCAATGCTTAAAAGAACTTAAATCACATCTAAGAATAAATACAAGATGAAAGCATTTTCATTAACTGATTTTACTATATGCATAAACACACACAGACACAGATACACACACACACATATATCAACCTCTCCGATGTATATAAACATTTAGTTGTTTATACCTATAATATGGGTCATGAACATGAGTGATGTTCTCTCTCCTTCTTCCAATAACGTATCACATTCCCATAAATATTTTCAATTATTCTGTTCATGCATACGTATACACCCATGTCACGAATAAATATATTAAACTAAAAATTTTAAAAATAATATTTTTTTTTAAAAAAAAAAAAAAAAAAAAAACGAAAACAACAAGCAATTTTTGGTCGTATTTTTCGCGTAGAGGTCTTCCGAATAAAGTCGGAAAAAGTTGAAGGATATCAACATTTTATTATCGGTCAAATTCGTAGAAAAAAATATCTCCAAGAAGTTGTGCACACGCTACGCACGTGCAGTTTTTTTTTCTTTTTTTAAAAAGAAAACTATGTTTGGCAGCGAATGAATCTTTTCTACCCATCACCGTTATCCTAAAAAAGACGGGAAAAAATAAAAGAACCAGATTACTATGAGTAACAAGCAAGAAACACGGAAAGCGAAAGTTTTCACAGTTTCTGTTGCATAGGTGTGCGGATAGTGAGGCTTGTCGTTTGGTCATTTTCAAATTCTTCTGTAAACTAATTTTTACGAAGGGGAGAATGTTTACCACAGATACGACACAGTTGGGCAGGCGGTTAGGTGGACAGACGGATACGTTGAGATGCATCCCTAATTTAAAACTGGACGAGAATTTATATATTTTATAGGGTTTCTGAAGCTTGCTTCTCCCCGTTACATAGGTATTGAGAAACAAATTAAAGTTTGATACACTCTAACACTGAGTAGGCGTGGTATCAATTTGCCCAATTCTTATGCAGGTGATTCAACATCGCCCATAGAATATTTATCGTTCAAAATTTTGTAGATTTATTTTGCTGCAGTTTATGCACGTAATGAGCAAAAAATCATTTTTATATTTTTTTTTGAAAAGCACAAGTGTTCTCAGTTCACGTGATACTGTAGGTGTGTCCTGCGATCGATATAGTCCAGTCTTGTAGTACCAACACCTGCGTACAAGAACTTCCAGTGTTTCTGTCAAATTTGAAGTCGATTGCTTCATTTTTGTGGTCAAGCAAATGGTCACGACACGGACATGTGTAAATCGATGTAGAATTTCATGCTGATTAAGAATAAATATATATTTCATGCGGTCTCTGCAGCTTCCTTCATTGGTCATTGGAAAAACTTTGACAAAATGGATAAAACTCGCTTCCTACGGTGATGGGTATACAAATTTCTTTGAAGGAACACAGGATCGAATAAAAGCTGAAATTATAGAAAAAAAATAAATTTCTGTTCAAATCTACCTTAGGAGGTATCAACACAAATTTTTGCAATTAAATGAAAAAAAAAAAAACGTTCAAATATTACTTAAATTTGAACAAAAGAAAACTGTGTTTAGGAAATATCTTTGAAGAAAATTTGCCAAAAACTAAGTCTTTTAAGTCTTAACACTCTTTAATTGCATTGAGAAGGAGACAACACATTATAAAATTATAAGGGCTTAATGCATTTGTGTATGTACGTATTTTGTAAGCATAATATATGTATTTATATATATATGTTCTATTGTTATGAACGATCTGTTGAAAGTATTTAACAATTGGTTTTTTTTTCTTTTTGTTATGTGTAATAACATAATATATTACGTGTGTTGTATTGTTCATGCACATAATAATAAAATTGCATGTGTTTCTATGCTAATATGTTTGTTCTGGTGTATATTTCCAATTGTCATATTTTAAAATTGATATGCAAAAAATATTCTCCATTACGATTCAATACCATCTCATATAATGTAATTACATTAAAAAATTATTAAAAAAAAAATTCATATCCATTGAAATCTTTAAACAAAAATTTAATTTCAATAACTCTTTTTGCCTTGAGTGTATCTATCTCTTCGAAGAAAGTGAACAGAAATTGGAAACGTCGTTTAAGGGACGAAAAGTGTTTTCTTCTTTTCCTTTTAAAATAGCAACGGCCCGACCTCTGCCCCATTTTCATATGGAAAAAACGGAAAATCTCAAACCTTCTCAATCTTTCAGGCATTTTTCATGCTCGCTTTAATATTTACTACGAGTGTGTATGTGTTCAACAAAAAGGTGACTCTTTATTTTTCGCGAAAAATATTTATTTATTCATCAATGTCAATTCTGACCCCTTCAAAGTATGCCCCTTAGGTGCAATGTGCCAACAATTTTTCCAATCCTCGAAGCACCTCTGATAAGCGTTTTTTGGTAGCTTGAGCTTTTTCAGCGACGCTTCCTTAATCGCAACAAAAGTTTGTCCTATCATGGAAAGGAAACCGGAAAATGTCACAAGGGGACATGATTACGGTATTGTTTTTGCCCAACAAATTACGAACACACAATGATGTGTGAGCTAGCGCGTTATCGTGGTGCAATATCCCTGATTGATTGCTACACAATTTAAAAAATTTTTTCATATTGCTTTACGGAAACGGCGCTTAACTCCAAGGTAACTTTCTTTACTGACCGTGCCACGTTCGGGCAAGAACTCACAAATCACTTTGCTATTGCAATCGAAGAAAACAATGAGCAGAAGGGCCTTTCTGCCATTAGTATGATACGGCTTTGGTGTCGACGTCACAAGTCATGTTTCGTCACCAGCTACGACGCTTTCGAGCAAACCCGGATCGTCGTTGACGTCATCCACCCGTTCGTGAGCGATGGTTCTGCGCGGACTTTTGGTTAAGAGATTGCAATTTCGGAAAAAAAACTTCACTGTCAGACGTTTCGTGCCCCAAATAATCGGAAAAATCGCATGGCATGAGCCAACCGCAACTTTTTTAATAGTGATTCGAAGAGTTTCCATAACAATTTTTTTCACTGCTTCAACGTTTCCATCGGTTTGTTGACGCGTTGACACGTCCAGGACGGGCGTCCTTATTAACTCTTCTCGGTCTCCTGTGAAGAGCTTGTACCACTTGTCAACTTGCCAAAAAAAAAAAAAAAAAAAAAAAATGGAAAATGAAAAATGAAAACTCAAACGTACGTAGCCCACGAAATTTGAAAAGTCACTTTTTTTTTTTTTTTGAAAACACCTCGTAGTGTTTTGCTGGATGTAAACATGCCTATGTCAACTTTTGAGCTAAACCTGTGGATTTCAACCAAAATGTGTAAAACGACAAGTTTACGTTTCTTATCTCAATACTGGGACAATGGCAAAAACATAAGGACAGACATGAATTAAAATCGACTTGAAATGTGGAGACATATTAACAATACATACAATTCCTTGTGGTGTCTCTCATGTATATTGCGTACTGAAAATCAAAACTATTATAACTTCATCCTTTGTTTAGTTAGTTTGTTTATGAAATTTGAAATTTTTAATTAATTAAAACATTATCGACACCAAACGTAGTTTGGAATTTTAAGCGAACAATATAGTTTTATAACAAATATATGTTAGTAATTCGCTTGATGACGACCTGGGCAAAAAGGGTTAAAGTTTTGGTAAGCATGCAGCTGGAATTTATATGAATGTATGTTGTTGTATGTGTTTGTTTTATATTTATAAATGCCATCAAAAGCAAGTCCATCTAATTATGCTAATATTAGTTTACATATGAACTTTCCAACTTTTTTCCATATTAATTGTGAATATGTTGCGTGGTATATAATTAAATTCAATTTTTTTGTGTACTTTTAGAACAGTGTTTTCCATAAATGCTTTCAATTTTAATTTTCGAATTCGTAAACACTACGATATGTGAGAGCATGTTCAACATGTTAGAATCCTTAAAGAGTTAGTTAGGAAAGAACCGATACAAGTTTTTCATTAGGAAAATTCGTTCGCGGCAGGTTCTTCAGCATATTTTATACCGTCTAATATGTAAGTAAATCGCAATCACAAAGTCTGTCTTTGCCGGTTTAAATCTCAATGCGGTACAGTTTGCCTTGGCCTTAGCTGTAGTAAGTGCTCGGTCGGTAAAGGGCGAACATTAATCGATAGAGCACACACCCATTAATTAGACTGCGGCCATCATATTCTATCTTCTTTCTCATATGTTGTTAAAGGGAATGCAGGGAAATAGAGGATGATTTGTCGAAAAGATAGGTATAGTAGTCTGCAAAAATAATCTAGAATCCAGTACTAATGCGGGTAACGCGGGTGATTGCGAATTAATTTCGAAACGGAATAGCTGTTCAATTTTTTAAAATTGGAACTTTTAGGTATCTAAGAAAATATAAGTTTGACGCTGTAAAATTAGGTAGAGGCAAAGTATAATATAAAGTGCAAACCTTTAGCTCATTTTCTTGGCGCTACAAGGAGTAGTCTTTAGTTTATCTGCGTACACTAGTTTCTTTACAAACTATGTTCTGCCAATAGCTTCACAAATCCTAATTTTGCATGGAACAATTCAATGAACAAGCCATAATATCTTATTGATATTAAAGCTATAATATCCTACCTTATGGTATATAATCTTGTTGATAGTAGTACAGCTTTAATTTAATGACTAAATTACGATGCCTCGAGTATGCGAATGTAAATTTTTATGAACAATATTTCAGCAGTTTTTAAGCGCAATATTCACTTGAACTTTCGCATGCTTTCCCCATAAAAGCGCTTGCAATGCAGAAATATATCTGCTTAGAAACATTGCATGCCTTCATTTCGCGACTGCCTGTCCTATGATAAAGCTTACTAGCCCTTATCGTCTTGATTTGAATGATATTGTAAAATATATGAAATTTTTTCAAAATTTTACTTCGCCTTCAAAACGCAATTGTCACGAATTACTAAGTCTTATCTGCACCATAGTACAGTTTGATAAAGTTAACATTACCAATGTTAAGCAACTTTTAAGCCATTTATCGGGGCGAAAAGGGCATAAAGCTTTTTCCTTAAGAATATCTTTTCACAATTTTTGCCTTTGTTTCGAATGATTTGTTCTGATTAATCACTTTTTAGATTAGCCCGGCTCGGTCTTATAAGTCGTTGAGGTTAAGCGACTTTCTTAGCACTTCATGCGATTCTTTAATGGGAGTTGAAAAAGGCAAGAAAACAAAAACCCATTAAATTTGCAATTGTAGCTCATTACGAGAACTTTCGGGCTATTCCTTTATACGACAAAGTCATAGGAAAATTTATTTGTTTTACATAAAATACTGTAAACCGTTCTTCTATCACTAATTAAATTAACATAAATACAATTTTTGCGATAAATGCATAAAAAAAAAAACTTTTTACTGAACATAGAAAAATGATCAACAATAAAGTATTTAAAATGATTTAATTATATATAAATTATATATTTATTTAATTAATTTTCACTTGGTAACATTTAAAATACAGATATATTTTTTCTCTGTTTTTTTTTTCTCTCTTTTTTTCGTTCTTTAATATAATTAAAAACAAAAATTAATACAAAAAACATTTTAACGAAACTATAAATAATCTTGAATCAAATTATTATTATTAAATGCCTTGAAATAATATTTTTTATGTATAACAAACCAAACGAACAACAACGAACAATAACAACAAACACAAACCCTTTTCCTTCCTTTCTCACCTTTTATATTGGATGTGAAACAAAAACACAAAAAATAAAAAAAAAAAAATAAAAATAAAAAAAAAAGCAGCAATCGTCATCATTGAGACCTTTAACCAGTGAGGATTTCCAAGCAATGATACCTGCACATTTCCTAAGCGGAGGAAGTCAGCATCAAGTGCATGTCGCTCGGCCAAATGAAGTCGGTGTAGGTCCATCCGTTACAGTAACGGTTAATAAGGCTGTGCCTGATTTGCCAATGTTCCCAGCTGCACCCACCGAATTGGGACGAATCACCGAAACAATAACTAAATCAACATTTACGGAAACAGTAATGACTCGAGTCACCGATAATCATTTAGCGGAACCTTTAATAAGTGAGGTGATTATCAACTAATCATCACAACATTACTACCACTACCACTACTACTACTACTACTACTAGTACTACTAGCAACTCCACTAATAGAATTTTCACCTCATTTTTCACATTTCACTTTAAAAAAAAAAAAAAAAAAAAAAAAAAAATTAAAACCAAAAAAATAAATTTTAAAACATTTTTTAAATTTTAAATAAAAAAAAAAAAAAAAAAAAAAAAAAAAATTAAATTAATAAAAATCAATGTAAAAATTTCTATTTCCCTTCAAGCACATGAAAAGAGAAAATGCTTTGCTTCTTTTAAATGAACGTACAAGAAACGGCGTGAAGGCTAAAAGTAATATTACCGATTATCCAATCCGGTCGCTCCTATAGCTAATTATTTAAATGAAGTGTTTATGTATTTATTTTCAAATCTTTAATTAATTTCTCTCATAAGTTTTGGTTTAATTTTTTTTTTTTTTTTTTTGGTTTTCCATTAAAACTATTTGGCAACAAAAAAAAAAGCAAAACAAATTCTTTTATTTGCACGTCTGCGCATTCGACCTTTATCTGGATTTTTAAATTAGCCTTGCACCAAAAACTGAAATAAAAAACCGAATACTTTTTCGATCAATAATAATTTTTGTAAATAATAAGTTTTATGAAAAACACTTAATAGTTTTCATGTAATTTTTTCACAATCACAGTAATTTACGTTAGAATATTTTTTTCCATTTTTTCACGTTTTCATTATTTTTTTTTTTTTAGGTGTTGGTTTTGCTACCGCAAATCTAGCTTAGTTTAGTTTTGTTTGCAATGTAAATATGTATATACATTTGATTTGAATTTGCTGCATATATGTACATACGTAGCTATGCCATAATTACTGTACTACCACATAGATTTTGTAAAATGGAAAAATACCATCGAAAAAAAAAAAAGAAAAAAATATTGAAAAATAATAATAGCTTTTTATTTAACAATCACTCAAATTGATTGATTGATAAAATTGATTATATTGTAATCTATTGCTTGAATAGATTTACTTGAAAAGCTGCCTTTTTAAAAGCAGCTTCTGGGCTGGGATCTCTATTATGCTATTCACATATTTAAATATCTCTTGACTTTGCATTTAAATAGAGAAATCTTCTGTAATAAAGAGCCTTAAAGAGCAAGGCACCTTTGTCCATTCGCTACTCTGCTTCTTGGTTGATGAATAACGTAAGTCATTCTCTTTTGGTTTTGATTTGCAAAGACTTACAGTTTTAATAAAGGGTTTTAATAAAATTGGAAGGCGAAACTCCCATTATTCTGGTACTTTCCGTTTGTGAACAATAAGATGGTCTTTGCTTTATGAAAGGGAATAAACATTTATTCACTCGTCCATTCTTTCTTCATCCTTCTTTTAGAACCCAGTTCTCCTTGGTTGAATAACGATTACATGATTGATAAAATGAGTGATTTTACGAACAGTGCGAGGCGGTGCGAGAAGATCCAAGAATATCTTACCTTTTGAATATATTTTATATGAACATGTGTTCGATTAGTAAAACTGTACGGCCTGCATACATCTTCCGTCAAAGTCAGCTTTCCCTTTTTGATTTAATCATTGTAGGACTACTTTTGCAATTTTTTTTTTAAACTTTAAGGAAAAAACAAGTAAAAACTCTGTAATGGATGACGGCCCAAATACCCTACACCATCCTACAGTTAATCATGTAACGACTTTTCAAAATAAGCCTTTGTATGGGAAAGAGTCGAAAAGGTATTCTAATCCTAACCATTTACTTTATAGCACGCGTAAGGGAACAATTAAAATCTCACGTCAGTTGACGAGAGGCTTCCCATTAACTTCCTTATTTTGAAAAATTCTTATTTAAACAACTGCAGGGTGGTATACGGGAAGTAACCCTAGAAGCCGTCTGATCCAAACCATTATCAACAGTGTTCGTTCTGCGGCCAAAATAAGTCGATGTACTAAATTTCATCGAAATAGCTCAAAAATCATAGCCTGCAGGTTGAACAGAAAACAATAAGATGGACAAATGGACAGAGAAACTGCTTCTGAGTCGATCGGTATTATGAAAGATGTATCTATCTCAACTCCTTGTAGGTATTGCACACAGCCTTCCTTTACGACTTTAACAAACAATTAACTCGATTGCCTTAAAGCCAAATTGTTGGCTTAACACCAATTCAATTCAAACATCATTTAGAACAGTTTGAAAACTTTGCACATGTTTCTTAGTTAAGATTTCTAGTATTAGTAAAATTAGTAAGCAGGTGGTAAGCCTCAGCCAAATCAATCACAATTAATTATATAATAATACTATATGGAAAGTGCTAATTGCGCCTCTCGGATATTTTGAACGTGAATCATCATTAACGTCTACACATTTCGATTCATCTATTTTTTTTTATGACAGTATACGAAATGTTATTGTCGCCTAATCCATGTGACCAAAAACTTTGCTTTTTGCTCAATTTCTTTTAGATACAACTACACTTTCACTTGCTTGACTATAAATGATTGACTTTTCATTTATAGTGCAATTCATATGAAGAGAATGTATAAAGAATGTATATGTCTATATATATGTCATGCTATAAAATTTCTGCATGACTCAGAGGATTCATTTTTAAAGAAAATATTTGAAAGTTTGCAAATTGCTTTAGCCTTAAAGCGTTTTAGGGTAATGCAGGTTTTTATCGCTATTAATCTTTGTAAATCAATCATATTTTAATGTAAATAAGAATCTCTCTGTCTCTCTTACTCTCTCTCTCTCTCTCTCTCCATGTCTTTCTTTGCCCGTCTTTTTCAAATTTCCTGTTCTTAAAAGTGGATCAAATTTTTTCAATTGTGCCTCTTGAACGAACGATTGTAAAAATAAATGGACTTTAATGGATTGCTAATGGAATGATGAATATTCAAAGTTAATAAAATATTCACAAATGTAACTGATAGTTAGTTTATCAAATACATCTACCTGCAGAGAGACGAAAAGTTGCAATTTTTAAAAATATTATCTTATCAAAAAAAAAATCATGATTCATAACAATGTTATTTGTTTTTATTTATTCGGACAGATGCATAAAAGAAACGAAAGCAACAGAAAATTAAATGCAATACAATAATGTAATATTTATATGGAGTAGGTATTTTTGTTTTGTGCCTTATCTTACCGTGACTTGCCTTTATTGTCGAGTACACTCTATATGCAGTTCTTTGCCATTTAAAGAAGCACTTATTGCTTCAAGGCTTTACGATCGAAAACAAAAGCTAATTGCTAGCTTTCGCTTTTCATTAATCGCTGAATGATATCTGGGTTTTGATAAATGGCAAATAGCTTATGTAGGCTCAGTTAAAGTAAATTCGAGCCTCTGATGAGTTTTTTTTGCTATGACTCTGTCTGTGAATGATTCTGTCATGTTAACTTGCTCAACGCCTTTTATGGAAAAGAACGAGGAGAAGTAATTTCGTATACTTTCCAAGTGAAATTTGATTCTTCGAGTTTCTATCTTAAATAATAAAAGCCTTTTTTTATTAAAGAGTTTTTCTCGTCATAGCTTTTATCATGTAATGAATTATTTCTTTTAAATGACTCGAGAATATTATATAAAATTTTTTTTTTATTACATTTCATACAAAAGTATTCGTATCTAAAATATGTGATGCATCATAAACCACTTGGGTTTATGGAAAATTCATAAACATCTGGCAGTGAATGCATTGGAAGAGTAATGCATTGAATATGCTTTTCATTGAAATGAAAGGGTAGTACCCTACAACAGGTAGAAATTTCATTCTAGTACAAAGACTATCGTGGAATTGGGTCGAGATTTAAGCTCCCGAAACGAACTGTTTGCTAGGTTTCGGAAATATACATTTTGTTGATTAGCTTGGCATTTTAACAGAATTCAATTTTCAAAACGATCAACATTCTTGAATTCAAAATGGGCGTGTATAAGTAGTAATGTATACGGTTATCGAATGCATAATACAAGTGGTGGAGGTGGTATACATCTATAGTCAGCTCGCGGTTGAAATTGTACGGTTCCATAAAAAATATATATGACATTCAATTACATTCGTCTTCAGTATTGTGATTGAAGATGTATGGAATTTGTGCAACAGAATAAAAGTTTTGGGTTAAAGATCGAACCCCTATCTGTATTTTTAAAGAGATGAGTTAATGACATCGGGAGGGTGATAATTTCATTATAATTTTAGACGTCCGTAGGTCTCCTACGTTATAAATAAAGCATCACCTATCGTGCCAGGAAAGCTCGTGTCAAATGCAGAGCGACGTGAAATTTAACCTGAAACCGTTGAGATGATCTGGAAAGTCTCAGGGAGAACTTTTCGTCAAACTGTCTTATTGTAATAATAACTGAGTTATTTAATTAAATGTTGCAACGTAACCATTGCAAAATAATGTAATATATTACGAACTATTTCACAAAGTTTGGATGAACTCTAATTTTCCAAATTGTAAGCCAAACAAGATGACGACTTTTTTTTTTTGGTTGCGTGAGAGTGAATTATCTCTTCAGATTTTTTTATTGTAAGCCTGTCTTCATATCGTACACCACTTGTTGTGTAAGGTATATTAAACTTGTACGGAAGCGCATACCATTTTCACTCAGAATCATTTTCTGAATCGATCTAAGCTTGTCTGTCCATCTGTCCGCCCGATTTGTGCCAATGTATTTTTGCGTTCAACCTAAAGATCGTAATTTTTAAGATATTTTGTTGAAGTTTGGCGAACTCACGTGTTTCGATTCGAGGACGAACGCTATTCCAAATGGATCGGACAGGAAAAATTTTACGACCACTCCCCATGTGTGGCAAAAAATTGCAAAAGAAGTATAATTTTTAATATTTCATGGTGAAAATTGGTTCATAATAATAGTAAATCGACAAAGAAATCAAAGTTTTCCAATTTGAGTTACGTACATTTATTTTTTGGATATCACCGCATGTAAAGACTCTCAGGAAATGTAAGCCAAAAAGGCCTAACTGTTAATGCTTTATAATGAAAATCTCTTTATTTAACCCAATTTAACGCAAAAAAAAAGTCGACCAAATTTGAACCACGTAGGTCTGTTTCTTGGAATCCACTTCATATAAGATTTGTCACGAATAGTGAGAACTTCAGAAAAAGGCATAATTTTTAATGCAGGAATTTAGCAACAAAAATTTTACAGTAAGAAATTTGGATTACGTAGCAATATTTTTAAAACCCCATATGTGTATATAGGGGCTACTACGAAAAGCAAGTAGTTTCTAGTTCTAAACAAAAGCGGAAATATAATAAAATTCGTAGCAAATAAATGGAGTTTGCAAAATTTAGATCTCACCTTACAATGTTTCGGGCATCCTCCAATATGCGGGCTTTCATGGAAAGTATGTCTTTGCATAAAAAAAAGTTGTCATTTTTGGCATATCATTGCCAAAACGAGTGAATAATTATATATAGGTAAAGTGATGTACGATGTCAGCCTTTTTCTTACCTGCTGTACCTGCTTGATCGCCTCTGCTGAAGGCTAAAAATTACCATTGTACGCATTTCTGAAAGTACTTCATTCCATATGTCATCGTTCGTTAAATTCTGCAAATAATCTCAAGTTGTAGCGATTTACGTCCGCAACGTTCGTGTAAATGTACAAATCATTAAAAATATCAATTTAGTATCATATGTGACTCATAGGCTTCGGTTTTTGATTTACAGTCGAATTCTTGTAATCAAATTTGCATTGGTATGCATGTTTGTATCTACTTACGTTCATGTTGTAATCTACTGTCGAATGCTTCGGCGAAAAGCGAACTTTCCCTGCTTTTAGATAAATTTTTTTTATCTTATTGCGTAGCCTTGCTTGACAATCTGTTTACCTCTTTCTATCTCTCTGTCTGTGTGCACATAACATAGCCAAAACTGTAAAATTTAAGCTGATATTAAAGAATAATATTTTTTATTGCACTTTTCTGTTATTTCGTTATTTTTCCATGTTATTATTGTTATTGGTCTCTTACTCATGTTTGTTTGGTTAATTTTATGCATTTATTGTATTTTCTCATGTATATGTATTTAGTTAAGACTAAATTCTGGGTGGACTCTGGTGTTTGCATTTGTGGAATTTTTTTGTTGCATAATATGTATGCGTTGTTGTATTATTATTGGTTACGTGCCTCTGCTCAAAATTGCATTGCTTTGTACATAACTTAGGTATAAGTACGAATTCATTAGCAAATTTTTTTTTTTTTTTCTTTTTAGTTTAATAATCACATATGAGATTTTTGTACAAATATTTGACATTTTTTAAAACTTTTTATAAGTTCTATAATGCTTTTTAAAATTTTTTTTTTGCAGGAAGTTATTTTACCTAAAAATCAAGGATCTTTGGGTTTCAGTATTATTGGAGGTACCGATCATTCTTGTGTACCTTTTGGAGCTCGACAGCCTGGCATATTTATATCGCATGTAAGTTATGGTGATTTTTATTTATTTAGGTATTAACGGCTACATATCAATATGACTCATAAGTAAAAATATACAAATAAAGGACAAAGAGGATTGGAGGTAATTTAACCTAGGCGTTAGGATACTTAAACATAGCTCTAAAAAGCCCAAAGGAAGATAAAGAAAAGCAATAGCGACGTCAACGCTTAGCAATTATCAATAATAGGATTTATCCAAATAGCTTTTGCTTACGTTTTCATATAAAGGATAAGTGATTGCTTTAGAAAAAAAAGGATTCAAAGTTCACGATATATTTTAATAACGGAGCAGTGATATCTACCACTGATTTTAAGAGATGATAAAAGCAAAAGCATTTCAAGCGATGTGTTAATGATATATTCTACACACGGATGGATGTTCTATTATGCAAAAAACTCGTTTACTCGAACTTTCATTTGAATAAAAATATAAAATTCAAGGATTTTTTGTCGTAATTATCAAGTAATGGAACTACATTGGATGTAGGAAGAATCCTAGGTGCTGTCTTTTCTCAAAAATATTACACTAATCATCCGCACTTAGGAAAGGGAAATGTAGGGAAATGTACGTGAGGTAGTAATACATACGATTGAGAAATTTCTTCCTTGTTTTTTAAGGTAGTGACAGTAAGTCAAAACAATCAAAAAAGAAAAAAAAAATGAAGATGTTACAACAAAATTGATAATCATCCTCTTTCTCTCTTCTTTAATTACAAACACGTGAGTGATACGCGTGTTTTTTTTTTTTGTAACGTATTTAAATACTCATTGAAAGCTTCGTACCAGACAATAAGTATGTTACGCGATATAAATCCAGTGAATGGCATTTGGTTGGTAACGTCTTTTTTATAAGGACTAAATATATAACAAATATATAATGTATAATGTACGAGGTGTGCTTAAAAAATTTCGATTTTCGAATTCTTTTTTTTTTTTTTTTGTTATGGTGGTATACATGTTCCCAAAGTATGTTGACATTATCCATTAGCCGTTTTTGCATTTTTAGTTTTATTTTTCAGAGATATAAAAATAGACATGTTTTGGTATGCTTGGCGACTTTTTCCTATCGAAAAAATGTATCAATGAGTATGTATTAAAGTTTATGTGGAAAATAATATCAAATGCTTGAACTCACCTAAAATGTTGACTGTGGCATTTGGCGAATCTCTTTCGAGCCAAAAAAGTGTTGATTATGGCACATGTTCTTCACAGAAGGTCGAGATGACTACCCTGAAGGCCTCAGCACGTCAAAAACCGAAGAAAACTTTGAAGCGGTGAAGTTGCTGTGGATATCCTCATATCGATTAGCTTTTGGCGTGAAATTTTTTCGGTTGTACGGAATTGTCCAACAACTAGTCAGTGATATTGCACTACGGTAGTGCGCCTGCTCACATGGATTCATCGGTCTTGTCCTCCTATGGTGTTTTTCCTGTTTTTTTTTCCTGTTCCCATAACTAAAAAGACACATGAAACACATGGACTTTCTTTTCGTAAGTGCTTCGACAATTGGAAAAACTGTCGGCATAAGTACCTTATACATAAGGGGGATACTTTGATGGGGACAAAATTGATATTGATGAATAAAGAAGTATTCTTTGAAAAAAATGTAAAGTCGCTTTTTTTCCGTGAACATACCCTGTGAAGTAATTTAAATTTACAATTAACTAAATATAAGGAAATTAATGAATGTATGCAAAAAATATTTGACGACTGCGCGGAGTATTCATCTTGAGTCGATGATTTCTACTTAACGTTCCGTTTACTGACTGATCCTTGCTTCTCTGTGCTTCTATGTAGCGTTATTTCTTTCATTTTAATCTTCGCCATTAGCTCTCCGCTGTTTTACTGCTCTTCGTGGCATCCATACTTTGCACGTCTGCATATATACTTTTCATACTCCACTAGGATGTAAATGATCTTATGAAAGAAAAGTTTCTAACAATTGAATCTAAAATGGAATTTAATGCAGAATTTTTATATATAATTGCCTATAAAGTTTTAGATTCAAGTTATGTTACATGGGATTCAAGTCATCTTATGTCTTATTATTCAAAACAATGCTTTCTACTGCAGCCATTTTTATACACCAAATCCTTAGGTTAAGGCTTAAGCAAAGAGCTACTTTCTCCGAACTATTTATCCAAACTTTTTGATTAAATTGATGGTCTGGCATTATATAACCGAAAGTTTTCTCATATACAACAAAATTTTGGTAAAGTATTTTGCAATTAAAATACATTAGTTACAGTTAAATATTTTGCTCTTGTAAATATATTACATGTGCACTTTACGACAGCTAAATATGAGTTGACAAAATGTATTTTAACGAAAATAGCGACCAAGCGGAATAGTGAAAAGTTCACTTGTGAACCCTCTACATTGCAGTTAGACATCTGGGCATGTGAAGTGAAAGTGGAAACAGTGAGATAGAGGGATAGAGAGAGAGAGAGAGAGAGAGGAAGAGACGGAAGAACGATAAAGTAAATAACGATAACTAAATATAAATGCACGCGTTGGGTGTTGCATGTGTATACAATATTTTATGATCTGAAGAACTTTTAACTTTTTAATAATATTTTTCGAGTCATAACTTTATCAAGTTGGCTCCATATAGAAATTGTTTTCATATTTCGCCATAAATTATGTAACAAACTTCATTAAAGTCTGCAAATTAAAGCATGGAGAAGAGAATAGGTTAGTTGTTGTTCTTTTTTTTTTTTTTTTTTTTGCAAAGTGATACGACACAAGTACAGTTTGAAAGTATAGTATAACCAACGAAAAGTGTGCGTATTAGAGAGCTTATGCTTCTCTAGCTTCATTTCGTTTATGTGACATGTCAGACTAATGAGTTTTCAGGATTAAATTTATGTCTCTTAATAAAGCTGTTGGATTTTTTTTATAAAACACACGCACCCAAACGCATACTGACACGTACAAGCAAGAATATGTTTGCTTGCATCATACAAGTATACATTGCACACGTACATATACATATATATATAATGGCCGCTCTATCACTAATGTATTTAAAAAAAAAAAAACACTTTTTCTGTTTAGGTTGTTCCGGGTGGTATTGCCTCTAAGTGCGGCAAATTACGTATGGGAGACCGCATTTTGAAAGTCAATGAAGTCGACGTGTCACGGGCAACGCATCAAGAAGCTGTAATGGAATTATTAAAACCGGGTAATGAAATCAAATTGACAATACAACACGATCCATTGCCCGCTGGTTTTCAGGTAAGTTTCGAAAAGCACTTAACACTTTTTCCTAAAAGGTTAGTTAACTTAAACACGTTTTGTGCCCCTCTGCGAGCTAAAAAAAAAAAAAAAAAAGAAAAAAAAAACAAGAAGAAAAATAAGTGAAAGGTGCTTTATTTAAATTTTTAATTAAAGAACACTCACCGAAAGAAAACGTAAACACATATATGACACTTTTTATAATTTATCTTTGAAATTTTGCATTTTTTCTTCGCACATTCGCAAAAAAAAAAAAAAATATCTAACACGCCATACATACAAAGCAAATACAAGTAGATTATATACCCACTGAGGTAAGCTTTCGAAGAACAACCAAATTACTTTTACTTTTATATCAATTACTTAAAAATGTATACTAAACAGAAACTAAATGTTTGTGTGTGTAGTCGGTGTTTTCTTTCAAAAAGCATTTCAAAGTACATTTTTCTGTTAATTAGCGTTTTTTTCTTTTCTTTTACATATTTATACTTACAGTTTTCATTTATTGCTTGCAGTTTATGGCTTAGGGCTTCTTATTGAATTGAATAGCGTTTAAAGAAGAACTCAACAACAGTAGAATCTTTCTTTATATATACGCTTTTGTTACGTCCGGAACAGAAGATTTAGGTGGTTTTGAGAAATGTGATCACGGTTTGGTTATTAAGGAGAACATCATAAGCATTGCAGTGTTGGGAGTTAAAATTTGAATTTGCTACGCGTTCTACGCTTTTAAAGTATCGGAGGCAGAATATTGTTTTCTAATGAATTTTTAATGAAAAGTAAAAAAAAAATTTACACATAGAGACGATGCGAGAGTGGCTGAACTCAAACACCTGTCTCATAATGTTCGCTGACAAAACGGGTTATTTAAGTGTGAGTGAGATTATCCCTGCAAGCTGGGGGGTTCCACTATACAGGGAATACCAGATCGATTTGTATTGTGTGACTAGGAAACCTACTTTGGGGAGGGTCCGACGTTTATCTGCGTTTATCTCATTATTTATAGTTTCCGGTCTTTGGCATTACCAAAGCTACCGCGATACACCGCGGAGATCCGTTTTCTGAGCATTCCCAACGTCATTTCCCAATACTCGCGGTGCTTTAATTTAAGCTGTCAATTCTTCGAAGCTTTCATACGATGCAGGATTTTCGAAACCAAACACGTGTGTCGGCAGAAAACAACTGGGATGATCTGCCCTGTGCTCCGGACGAACGCCCCTTCTCCGTACTTTGCAACTTACCTGACTCTGCTCACCTATTCTCTCTTTCTCTCTAATTCTCTTTAATAAAGAAAATAAAACTTCCAGTACATCGCGTAAACAATCGTTGAAAAAAATTTATTGCTAGGCCTTGAACTCTTCTCAGTCAATAATGTGACGGCCATAGTTCGGAGATTACCACGTGGGACTGAACTTTTCGGCATATCCACGTAGCTCACCGTACACTTCCCTATAACAATGTGTACTCGTTCCGTGCTATGTAACGATTGACTTACTTTTTATATTTGAATTGATTATCGTTAGTAATCAGGCTTAGGGCACTACAAAATACGAATTAGATGAGCCACTTTTAGGAGATTTTGTTGTTGTTGTTGTTTTTCCAGTTGGCCGATCAGTTATTAAGACGACTTTTGCTTACATTAATATGCCAACCATAGATCAAATATACAATAAATTTGCAAATGCGCGGCCAGATCACGTTCCTTTTACAATCGAGTTCGCGACTTTAAACTGGGATTAGGTGCGTCAACTTTTAGTTTTACCTCTAATGTTATACTGGTCTACAATCTATGGACAGACGGGTGTACATATTTTTGAATATTACACCGGTAAAGATTACATAACTACTTTACAAGTCGTTGAGGGGAATGGAAGTATTTCTCCTCAAATAGCAACAAATAGAAAAGTGACGAAGGCGGGAAAGATTTTTTTATAACTTTTGGAGACTTTATCAGAGTTTAAAATCATCTTTCTCCTCGAACTTGTCGATAACTCCAAACGAAAGCTTGACATGAATTGCTTGCCAGAAATGTATTAAAATCGGTCAGTTTTTTTTTTTGAAGCAGCTTTACTGATCTCCTGTCTTTAGTTCAGCTTAGTGCGCCGAACGAGCTATCTGAAGAATGGCATGACAATTTGAATACTGCTTTGAGGACCTAAACTAGCAATATACATATAAATTTCCTCTTGGCGAATATCGGGGAATCAATGAAACGGAAAAGTTTAAATTCGTTAAATTAAGTCAACTTTCAGTTTTGTAGGCGGCAAAACGGTTAAGCAGCGTTTCCGCATTTTCGACATACCCACTCGTATGAACTGAAAAACTTTTACCTCAACACATGATACTTAAAATTTACTAAAGCGAATAAAATCTTTGTTTAACGGCGTAGCCATCGAAACATAGAAAGCGAATAAGACGAGGATTTACTGTATTTAGTTTCCTTCAATTTCTTTTCATTCTAAAGTGAAAGAAAAGAAAATGATGAAATAAGTGTTTCTTAGGAAATTTATAAAAGTAAAAAAAAGAAAAAGTCCATGCTTTCAAGTCTAACCCATCATAAAGTGTAAGGAATTTTTATCTTTTTTTTTTTTACAATTATCTTTTGATTTTTGACATAAAATGGTTAGGACATAAAAATCTCTTTCCAATTGATTGGAATGAATTCGACACAAAAGAATAAATTCCTTTCATAACTAAAACTAATTTTTTTTTTTTTTGGTGTACTATGATTATTTTTGCATGTGTTTGTTTGTTTGTATAAGTGTATCTCTCTCTCTGTATATATATATATATGTATGTATATATATATATATATGTATATATTTGTATGTAGCTCTGTGTAAAGGCGTCCTACATATTTACGTACATGTAATAGTATGCTGGTTTTATTATTATTATATACAGAGCCCGGATATATCTAATATATATATATATTTTTATATGCATTTTTTTTCTTCTTATTTTTCTATCTCTCTTCGTGTTGTATTGTGTGTAAATAAATCACAGGAAATTATCATCAGCAAAGCTGATGGAGAACGCCTGGGCATGCACATTAAGGGCGGTCTTAATGGCCAGCGTGGCAATCCTGTTGATCCTACAGATGAGGGTGTATTTGTATCTAAAATTAATTCGGTTGGTGCGGCACGACGTGATGGAAGGCTTAAGGTAAATTATTATTATTATTATTATTATTATTATTATTATTGTTCTTGGCTACACGTTGTTGTGAACTCCTTTTACGATCTCTACTGTAAATCTTAAAATAACTGTTGTGTACTGTGTTGCTATGTTCTCTTACACAAACAACAGTTGGTTTAGTATGATTTCTTAGTGTTCTGAATGCGAATACATTGTATGTGTGTAGTGTGGTGCCTTGCAAAAATTGTGACAGAGCAAAAATGTACGTTTTGCTCCTCTAGGAGGAGATTATTTTTTCCGCTTGTTTTGCGTGAAATAAGTAAACAGAAAATTTAGTGCAATTTTATGTTGTTGTTTTTCTCTTTTCTGTGTTGCTATTGTACTTTTCAAGCAACGTACTTTGTTTTTTTATATAGCGATGCAAAGGCTTTTTATTATTAAGATTATTTTCTTACTTTGCAAAAGTTTTTTATACAGAAGGCCTATGCTAACCATGCATAATGACTTAATTAAAAATACTTTAATTTAAAAAGTTCACAAAGAATTTCTTAAATATTGAGATAGAAGATTTTAAATTCTTCCCTCACTATATTTCCATATCTGACTACATTTCTATTCTGGCGGTAACAGTGCGCCTTAGCAGTAGTATTATTTAGTTTAGTTTAGTTCTTAGCCTTTAGCCGAAAAAATCGTTTAAAAATCGTTTGGCACTTTTTTTGCTTTGATTATGGACTTATCAATAGGACGATCGTGATTAAAGTGAGAGTCAATTGTTCATCGTCTGCATGGCTTAATCAAGACGAGTTGCATAGAACAATCGCGTTATTTTGAGCGGTTTCCTACTTGCAACACAACCTTCAAGACTAAAGTACCAGATATGAAAGTTTGGGTATGGTCCAAGCTTACGTCTATTACATACCTATGATAGATGCCTATGCGTTTGAGGATAATTACAGCGATCGCGAATAGTCTCCGAAGGGCCGCACCAAAACGGTCAGGCCTCACATGTCGGTTTAATCGACCCATTCCCCGAAAGTTAATACCCAAGTTCATTTATATATACTGCGTTTCCACTAAAATATATCATATGAATTGTCGATCATCATTTCTGTTATATAATCAATTCCAGGCTTAGCATATATCTGCCATTAATTCCCCCTATGAAATATTAATCAATATTATGCAAAGCATATATGTTTGTAGATACCCCTCTATAATCAAGTTTTCGCGAAGGTATCAAATTACGCGAGTTTTCTCATGAAGATTCATAGCGAGCTCGGTGTTTAACCAGCGTAGCCATTCCGAACTCCAGGAGCTTGTCTGGCCATCTCAGTAATTCTCACATCACAGACCTATTTTGGTAAATCGTGGGTCTTCACTTTGGTTGAATTCTTAGTAGAGAAGTCCGTAGGCAGACGACTCCTGACACTCTCGGTAGCTCCCCAACTAGGGGTTTCCGTTACCGGAAAAGCGATTAAGATGAGTCTAAACTCCACACGATTCGAATATTTTTCTACATTCACACTGTAAATTATTAAAAATAAGTAAAAACGCTATAGTAGGGCCGTCGTCTATTATTAAATGGGAGGTGATCGAAAATTTGGTCTGATTCGAATTTTATTAAAATATCTTAAAAATTGCCGCCTGTAGGCTAAACACAAAAAGACATGCTTGGCAGGCGAAAGGATGATCAAAGAAACTTATATCGGTTCAGAAACTGATCGTTAATCGATTAATGTAATAGAAGGTGAGTGTATCCAATTTCTTTGGCGTGTTGCATACATCGGCATAAACTTCATGCTTGTACAAGAAGCGGTGACGCGGGTGCAATAATGTCTTCAAATTTGTACTTTTAGGAAGGGTTTGTCGGTTTATTAACGGGAAAATCACGTCCACCCTCAATGATGACCTATGGGCGTCATGTCGGAACATAAATCAAACGTCAGTTTGCTGTCGTCGTTTTTGCAATTGCCAGTATCCCAAAACTAGAAGGACGTAGGGACGCACACAATTGAAAACTAACAAAGAGTAGAAATACATTTCTGTATTTTTCAAGTAGAATTCTACCACTGGACTCTTCCCTACCATTCTTTGTTGAAAATCGTGATAATGTTTCAAAGGCACCAAATCTACCCTGGAGTATAGTTATGTAATTTGAAAAATGCTAGAAAAAAAAAGAAAAAAATTTCAGCTTAAACTGCACAATTTCAGTCTCAGTTAAATAAATGCGATTTTCTTAAACTTGAAGCAACGCTCGCATGCATATCTTATCGAACTTAAATGTTTCGCATTTTTATACACTCTCCATCTTTCATCTCTCCATGTATAGGTTGGTATGCGTTTACTGGAGGTTAATGGTAATTCACTGCTCGGTGCCACACATCAAGATGCTGTTAATACTTTAAGGACTGCTGGCAATGAAATTCATTTGGTTGTTTGTAAAGGATACGATAAATCCAATTTGATTCATTCCATTGGTACGGCCGGAGGCATGAGTACCGGTTACAGTAGACATGGTATGTACTTTCACAAATCATACTCACATCTATGTATGTATGATTGTCTTTTGCTTAAAATGACTGCAATATTTTATGTTTCCTCTATTGATTTTTACATTTTCTAGGATCGCGTGCTTCTGAAACTGGTTCAGAGTTAAGTCAGAGCCAAAGTACTTCCAGTTTAGATCGTGAAGATGACGAACGTCTTAGACAAGTACGCATTTACTTACATATTATTATTATTTAGTTACATCAGATACCTTGACTTTAATGGTTTTTTTGTATTTTTTTTTACTTTTTTTACGTTTTTTTTTTCCTTTTTTTTTTTTTTTTTTTTTGTTTTATTTAACCACATAATGCAACTATTTTCTTACACACTTGCCTATGCCATCAACGTCGGGGAACGGTTTAAATGTTTGGTGTTGTGTTGATCTAAAGGATTTTGAAGTTTTTGCATCAAAAGCTGAAATGAATAATGAACACACAGCCGCACAAGTGACGCCGTCTACACTGGCTGCAGTAGCTGCCTTGGCACACCCATCAACCTCAACAACAGCAACAACAGCAAGCGCAAACTTGAAATCGACCCCGCAAACGGCAGAATTGCATCAAACGCCTCCACACTCAACTCATGAGCCAGTTGTGGCTCTGACTGAACATCCTGAACAATCCTTGACGGCTACGTCTAAAGAGAAGAGTACGCCTGAAAAAGTAAGTATATTTGCTCTCTTTTTGAATGTTATCTTATTCGACCAAACGCCTGTGGGTGTACTGAGTACACTATGTTGCCTCAAGTGTTTACTTTAGTACTTTACATATAATCCTTTAATTTTGTTTTTTTTTTTTTTTTCTCTTCTCTTCTTATTTTATCTCCTATACAAAAAGAAGTGTTTCTATGTGTATGTGTGGGTGTATATGTTTGTTTATAGATGAACGTTAGTGTTAAACTATTTACCTTAACGCCATTGCAAGTGCAAAATTTTGCTGCAGTTTAAGTAGAGTGAATGAACGGATGAGAAGAGGGAGGAGAGGGAATATTTGAATACAATTTCACTTTTCGTATAAATTTTCAACTGAATGAATAAATGAGTCAGAAAGTGAAAAATAATGAAATTTATGTAAATATATGAATTCTGCTCTAAGCTTTGTTTTAACGTTGAATTAAAAAAAAAAACAAACTTAATTTTTAAGGTGTGTTAACATACACACGCATAGACATAATATTTAAAAGACAACTAAAATTTAATTTAGCTTGAATGGTGAACAAACTGCATTGAATTTCGACGTGACTTCAAGCGTGCACATGTATAAATATTTAAATAAGTTCCTATTACGATGAGCATGTGATTTGAAAAAAAATATTATTTACAGAACTAAAACGACATTGAAAACATGCTTTCAAGGCAAATGCTTTCTTATTTATTCTCTATGAACGATATGCAAAAGCGCACGCTCTGCTAATTATGGTACACTGCTTCTAAGAAAATAAACAAGAAATGTTTTGTGGTAGAAGAGGCAACTATTTCTTTTTTTTTTCGTCATTGGCTTAATAGATACTTTGGATTTTCTATAGAATAAGGGGAAAAGCACTCATTATTTTAAAAAAAATTTCCCTTGACACTTTGTCATTTTTCCACCTTCTACCACCTGCGTCAAATGGATCTCTACTTCGATTTTACAATCTAATATCTTACCTGTTGAAAGCATGTCTTGAGAGAGTGTTTATGTTTATTTAGACTTCAAACAAGAACGTGCCAATGTAGTCTAATCGAGAGAACCCTTGAGACTCAGAGCGATTCGAAAGCCTTTCAACAGATTACAAGTTCAGGATGAAGTTTTTGATTTTAATTATGATCTTGGCTATGGGATTATAAATACGTTTGATGTCTTTCTTGCTATTTGGCAATAAAGATACGAGTTCTAATTGCGGACGGAGTGGAGTTTGTGCGAATGTATGCAATGCACAGAAAGATTTGAGATGTATACACCTTTTATCATATGTAAACCAGAATCACGTTTTGACTCGATCTGAGCTTGTCTTGCCATCTATCTGTCTTGTATTTGTGAGTTCAACCTACAGGTTTCAATTTTTGACATATTTAGAGTAAATTTGATTCAGTGATGCACTTTGACCCAAGGACGAACGCCACTGAAAATGGTTCGGATGTTCGGAGTACTTTCTTGAGCATTTGCCTTATGATGCTTTATTTGAAAAATTGTTATATCAATGACTGTATTAAGCGAAGCGAGTATTGAATGGGTATCCGCGGCCCATTGTAGTGTGTTTATGTGTTCTCGCTGAATTTTTATATCCATCCTTAATGGATAAGAGCATGACTGGCGTTCAATTCCAGTCTGCAATGTCGGCAGATATTGGTCAGAGGCCTCGCGAAGTATGTATGCATATGTATTTTTCATGAGCGTAGTCTCATTCACATCACATATCTAACTTACATCGCTTTTTAACTCTCATGATGTACCAAAATGTTATACAGATAGCTTAAAATTTATAACGAAATTGTGTACGCTTGCAATGATTTTTTTGGTCTATTTAAAGGTGTTGGAAATTGTTCGAGCGGCCGATGCTTTTACATCAGTTCCTCCGAAATCACCGTTAGAACATCACGATCAGGATAAAATTCAAAAGACGACAACAGTCGTTATATCCAAGCATACTTTGGATACGAATCCTTCGCCACAACAGACTGGAATGCCGTTAGCGACAGTGTCAACTACATTACCCGCAACTGTACAGCCACCGTCTTCTCTCTCAACCAATCAGGCGCCATCATTGCAACAGGTATGTTAGCTATGAGTTTGTGTGAAAAGAAAAATAAAAAATAAAAATAAAATCCATCTTAAATGTCTACTTAACCTCATTCAAATCAAATCAAATGTGTCTTCACCCACTTTAAAAAAAAAAAAACAAAAATAAAATTTTGTATAATTTTTTATATTCATATATATCTGTGTGTGTAAAAGTGTTTGAATTTTGTGATAACTGTATTATTCAAATTAATTCACTTAATGCTATTGAAGTTTTTTTTTTTAAATACTTTGTGTTCCACAATCGCACATAATTCCTCGCAAAGTTATTAATTATGCGTTTGTCTAAAAAACAAAAACCAACAAACCAAAATGAACTGAACCGAACTAAACTTTCTTTTTTGTTTGTTTTTGTTTTTTGTTTTTATGTTTTCCCCACTAAATTCAATATGTGTCGATTCATTCACTACACCAGATGTGTTTATGTTTTATGTTGTTGTTATCATTATTTCTTTCTTTTTTTCACATCGTTACTTTTATTTTCTATTCTTCTAAACGCGCTCATAAATACTCATACCTATGTAGCAAGAAACAACATCAACAATAACAGGAACGTGTGCGCTCTGTTATTTATCTTTAGTTAATTCAATTTTATTATGCAGATGCTTTTCATTTTTTCCCCCCTTTTTTTTTTTTGAAAAATTCACCATCAACGGGATATGGTATAACAATTTTTTCATCCAGTTTGTAATGCTTGGAAATTTATAAGAGAAGCTGCATTAAGTACATACATCATTGATAGGCGTAAACTTCAGAACCAGGTTTAGTCATATCTGAGCCTCATGTCGTCTTGTCTGCCGTCTGTATTGTAATTGCCGAACGATTGTTCTGTGTATGCCAGCACTACGGGGTAAAAAGTTGGATTGGATCATACGTCTTTGTGGACGTGATTTGCCCATAAGTGATATATAAAAGTTTAAAAATTAAAATCCCCATGCAATTAACCAGTTAGCTGTGTTGCGACGTATATATGTGCGTCATGATCAATTCATCCGTCCTTGGCGCATTTCTTCGTAACATTTTATCGCTATGAATGTGTATTTACCACGATTTTACACAACCTAATTTCGTCATGTTTGACGGATAAATCGACGTTGGTCCACCCAGTTAACTGGTTGAATACTACGTCATCGATAACTCGCAATTCAAAACATTTAATCTTCTGAACCATATTCGAACCTCCTCCATCCATTTGATTAAGTTTGCGCAACGATTCGTCATAAATGCATTTACATAGATACATTTTTGCAAGAAAAACGTCTTTGTGTGTCGCTTTCACATAATATTACTACTCTTACGGCAGGTAATGATTTAGAGTACTAATGTACTAGTGCTATGTCCGAAAAAATAAGACCAAATTAATTTTTTCTTTGTTAAAACCATTTATTATTCCAAATATATTTCGTCCCCTTCAGACATGGTACGCTTGGTGATTTTCAATCCCCGATACAGCCTGTTATAGCCTGTTTTCGAAATGGGCTTCAGAATAGAGTCAAAATAGTGTCCGCAGAGCGCTCTTCTGAGTTTAGAGAATAACAAAAAACTACGCAACAATCTTGGCTGAATTTTTTGCAAAATCCTCACAAAGAGCCGATATAGTGTGAGATGGTGCAAAAATCAAGAGTTGTTTTGCCACAATTCCGATCTCTTTTTGCTAATACCTTCGCGATGCATATAACCCAAATAATATTCCTTGTTAACTGTTTGGCTTGGCCAAACATCACGACAATCGAAGAACACGATTATCGTTGACTTGATTTTTGAGGGACTTTGGTCCGAATTTTTCGTTTTTGGCTCAACTTTTGCACGATCTTCGCTCAATTGATTGTTTTTCTCCATGTTGGTTGCGTAGATCTTAAGCGCATAATACTCAGAAAGCATCCTTTCGCAAACATATCGTAAAAATCGGAAAAAATACTTTTTGCGTCGTACAAAACAAAGCTCAGCTGCATCACTAACGACATTTATGGTGCGAAATTTGAAAATTGATGTCTACCGCGGTTTTATAAATTGGGAAAGAAAATACATCTAATATTCCATTTAAAGTAACTGGTCTTGCGTATTGGTCATAGTAATATATCTACTAATATTTAATCAATTCATCCAAAATCCGTTCGCTTTCAGGCGAGCGTAGTAATCACAGGTGTTTGTCTTCTTTCCTTCATTTATTTCGATATTTTTGTTTGTTTTGCATTTATAAAATTTAAGCTCAATTATTTTATCCCTTTTTCCGGCCAAATTTTATGTAAATGTGCATATATATATATATATATATATATGTATATATATATGTGTATAAATGAACCCACAAAACGGATGTATGAAAAAAAACAACCTGTAAACAAAATTTTTGGTTTTTAATTTCTTTTCTCTTTTGTTTTTTTTTCCTTTTCGTCTTTTTCATGCTTTTTGTTGTTATCGAGTTTTAATGTTTTTTTAATCTTTACACATATGTTACATATTTGTATATGTATGTGTAAAACATGTTACGTTATTTGTTGTGAATATTTTATTGTACGTTGAAATTTTGCGTTTAGGTCAGTTTTTTGCACATGTGTATGTACTACGCATATGCATGTGTGTGTGTGTGTGTGTATTTTTATTTTTTTTTACATATACCAAAATTGCGTTTATTTTTCATGTATGGTTTTAACAGCTTATTTCCAAAAATTTTTGAAATATTTTCATATACGTACACATGCAAAGCAAACTCTTTATAATGTTATTTGAATAGTTATTTGAATTTTACATTGTCCGTTTTTCTCGGTATTGTTGTCAATAAGCGCAAGTGCATTACACTGTTCTCCTAACAATTGAAAAAGGGTTTTGAATATTGAAAATTTATTCGATATATTTACGTCAACACTATGAAGATTGTTTAAAATTTATATGATTTAAGAACCGATAGCAGCAACAGCAACAACAACAGCAACATATATATACCTTTCAAGACGTGCTGACGCTTATTTACAACTTTGTTGCTAATAGATTTTGTCATTTGTCGCTCACGCTGGGAGAAGGAATAGTGCGCTGTGTGCCATCTCTGGTTAAAGCTATGCCAAGTTCGTACAGTACAATGTTACGTTCTATTATAAAAAGCCTTTCAGAATCATTTTCTGAATCCATTTGGGAATGCTTGAGCGCGAATCTGCCAGCCTGTCCAGGCAACCTTGTGTTCGCACTATAGAAAGCAATTTCAGAAATGAGATTTGGTAGACTGACTTCGTTTTGGGTCGAGAATGAACAGCACTGAATTTTGAAAGTCATTTGTTTCTCAACTTAATCCAAAAGGGGTAGTAAATAAATGCGGAAATTTTGGATAGGGTGGGATAATTTTTTGAACCTATTTCCACCCACCGATTCTTACATGAGTTAATCCATTTTGAAACCGCTTCGCAACAACTACATCTTCAATCAATTCATCAATTAATTTAAAAGCAAAATATTTTCTTCGTCGTCTCAGTAAAATAAATAAAAAAATTGTATTGGGCTGTGAACGAATCCTTTACGTCCGTCACCTTTATCATAGACAAAAAAAAAACAAAACTAAATTTTTATGCTCGTTGGCGCTTTACATTGCGCTTTATAAGTAACGACAGGAAACCCGGAAAGCAGTACTTGTTTCAATTTATGTTGCACTACAGGGATGTACTTTGTCCGGTTGAAGGTATTTTCAAATTTTTTCGCCAAATTTGAAAGCGATGTCTTCATTTTTGCGAACGAGAGAATCCTTACAAAAAATGACGGGCAAGCAAACAGAGGAAAATGCTTCGTTGTATTCCGAGTATGACACTGGTCAAAAAAGTATGTACTTTATGGGGGTTTGGGGAAGCTTGTCTCTGAACGTTGTATAGGTTGTGACAAAAGAGTAAACTTTTGACATGTTTAAATCGATTCTGAATTTAAGGCTGATCAAGGGTATATTAACTTTATGGCGTCTCTGTAGCTTCGTTCTGGGCGCTGAAAACACAAGATGGAGTATACACTACAATCTTCGGTGGCGGGTACAAAAAAAGCGGTATTTACCTGACATTCTAAGATAAAGTAGTTGCTATAAATTATTGATTGTTCAAAGAGAGCGCTAAAAAAACGTCGTAGGCCTCGATTTAGGTGTAGCTACAGTATCGGGGTTCGGTCAGGGCAGTTGTTATCTTTGTTAAACCATCCGCTTCGGCGCACTAGTACAATACTTTGCGACTTTTCGCAACTGGACCGTCTTTCGCTATCAATGCATGTTGGTAATATACCATTGCACGGGTAATGCGCTAAGTTGTGTATCTTACTTTTCGTGCTACCTAATGCCGATGCTGGCTTTATTTGGACATCGCTTTTGAAGATAAATATAAGACAATAACATAATTATGGTTACATTTTTCGTCATAAGAATTTATGATTTTTTATATAACTTTATCAACTAAACTCAAAGAGTCGCTCATTTGCAGTTGTCCCTAGGACAACTACATCTTGGACAAACTAAATATAAAGACATTTTAAGTAAATATTCCTGAATTTAATACTCATAGGGTTTTTAATTAGTTTACGTGGACTTCAGGGACTTAAACTTGGGTACCATACCGTTACGAAAACTTCTCCTAAGTATTTTAAGACAACGCATACGACCAGTAGCAATAATCGCCCCTGGTCTTGGGTGTAATGGACTGATTATATGAATGTAATTAAAATCCGAATAGCGGTACTGTGGGCAAATAGATTTTTGAATATCATACGAACAGCGGCTAGATCGACGAAATAATGTGCGCGTCTTATCATGAGATTTTTCAAAGCTGAACGGATCTTTTATCGTTTTATTCGGAAAGCGGAGAGTTGACGATTTAATCACAGCCGACTTCCGACCGTAGTTCACATCGTATTGATAGAAAAAGTTGTATAAAGTATTTATTTCACGCTTTTGTTTAATAATCCTTTGTAGTCTGAAAAATGTTAAAACTATCAAATTTGCTTCGCATATAGTTG